GCGTCCGAATGCCAGCTGTGACGCGAAGTGTAAGACGAACTCGAACGAACCCCTATCATCCTCAAGATAATTGGCTGGTAGAACATACCAACCGAACCGTAAAGAGCGTTCTCCAAGGTTTCTGCGTACCTCGCACCGAAGAAACCTATCCAGTGATGCGCACAAATTGTCCTCTTCAAATCAATCCGTGATAACAGACAACTTCTCTGTCGCCTGGCTCAACACCATGCCTGTCCTATTAGAGCTCCATGTGCTTCATTACCCTAACTCACAGGGCTCACGTGACCGGTACGCGTTACCGCGGAATAGGTCCCAGTGACTAAGTGGTTTATTCCTTCTATTGAAAACTAAGAAACATGTAGGTTAATCATATGAGTAAGTTTGCGAATGCGATTGTCTTTTACTCCGGGCCCATGTTCAGTCATCCAACCTGTATAGCAGCGCTTTTAACCTCCTGGTATCCATCTTGCGCGACAGATCAGTTGAAGGCTGTGTCGTTAATTCAGAATTGTGTACTGGCGATTTTACTGGTCATGTCATTGTACGGTTCCGTGCTCTACGGAACTTGACTTGATATCGACGGAGCCTTGTGACCGGAGGGTTCTGTTTTGGTCCATCTTAACGGTCTCGGGTGTTATTATCACTTGTTTTCCACGGACAAATTATACCTATCTTAACCTGAAAGAAGAAGAATTCCAAGTTGATTTGCGCCAATTTTCTTTGTCAGGGGAAAACGAAGGCCAGACACGGTTTGTTTGGTGCGATAGCAGCTGTCCCACCAGATTGTTCTTGAACACGATTTTTCTTCTTTTCTCACTGAATAAGAAGGTCAAGAACACTGTGTTTAGAACAACTTTTGCACACTAATTCGTGTACAGCGGTCAGTATCATCTTCATTGGCAGAAAAATAATGAATAAACCAGGGAAAAATTAAATGCATTTGCAGTCATAAATCATCTATGTATGGACTGAAAAGTTGGTCAAGAAGTCAGCTAAACTGATAAACCATTCACGCTGCTTGCATAGTTTGGAATGTGAATTGTAGGCAGTCATTGCTTCAACAGACGCGTTGATTTTGCGCAGAGCCGTAAACGCCCCGTGTGTGCTATACCGTGTTCCTCCCCTTCCAAGGTGTTGCATTACTGTGTTCGGTGAATGAAATCATTCAGTGCTTTTTGGAACTGATGTGTTGGGTTAAACATCAACCTTTTAACTGGCACATACAATTATATTTGGTGTTGGATAGGGCAGCACTTATTCCTCCGATGATAATGATGATCTGAGTGATTCAGTGTTGAGGTCAAGCGCACGCTAATTACACTCTTCAATCGCAGTTACATAAGATTATTGTTTTCTTTACGCTTTGTGGTGCTCTTGTCTGTACTGACTTTGAAATGAATGGTCATTGCTTAGCGCATTAACGATCCGTTCATACTTCTCTATCGGTATGTTGTGCTCAGAGCATATTTTTCGTACTCTGACATATTGGGTAAAGGCGAGCGAAACGAAAGAATCATCCGGACCATCTATCTTGTTTTCCGATCGACCAATATGTGCGATGAGAAATATTTACATCTAGATCGCTGATATGTTAATCGAATGTCTGAACAGATTGCTCCAGTAGCTTTGTCCTTCTTTGTTATTGATAATTGTTGTGTCATCAGCGCTACACTCGCTAATTCTTATATAAATACGCCGTCGGAATTAGTTTCCTGATGAGTAAAACTATATATATATATATATATATATATATATATATAACAATGCCCGTAAGGATGCTTCCAGTTGGACTACTTCCTAGCTAATCTACGGTTTTGCCAGTCTTTTCGCTCTGTCTAACCTGTATCAAGCTATGAAAAAACATCCTTAGTTCGATAGAATGTAGCTGAATGCGTATGACATGTCACATTCGTAGAGCAGAATCGATCTCACCGTGCTGTATTAATTCGGTGGAAGCGTGATTCCTCTCCACGGTCACCGGGGTGGGTATTGCTTTCTCGCTCTCTCACACACGCATTCTGACACCACGAAAGATTAAACGGGTTGATCTCGGTTGCTTGATGCTATTGTCCGGTCATGCAAACCTGTCTAACATACCACTGAATTGAACAAAACTGCTAGGGACTATCGTGAATAATCCGAATGGGTAGCGTGACAATGATTAAATACCCCGCTGATGTTCCGTCCGTCCACTTGCACACCTGGTGCTTCCGGACTAGAATTAAATATTTGTGTAATTCTTTCAAGTTTTCGTTTTTTGTGTGTGATGAACTGTTCATTCTACCTGACGAATTCCTCTATCGTGCTCCAAACTTTACGTCCACGACGAGGATAATCCAGCTTCATTGAATTTCATAGGATTTTGATACAAGGCGGCACTCAACTGATTTTTCTAGGGTGCACCAGCTTCTGTCAGATATCCCTTCCGTTCCGAAAGCCTTTAAGCCGAGACCTATACTTTCCCAGTATAACAAATACCTTTATTTTCTGGGATCGTTTCCTCATCGACCGATTTGGAATACTTGAGAATGAAATCATTAGATTCTACTGGGAATATCCCTAGGAGATCAATGTACTGATCATTCCCAAATTTCAGTGCCCGCGAACAATTAGGGCTAGTGCGTCAGAACGCGACGGATTCCCGTGGCTAACTTGGTCCGCCGGATGATGACCTATGTTTATTTCCCCTTTTTCGGGTGTATATCGCAAATTGGGCATGGATTTTTCGAGTTTATCCCACGCTGGCATGTTTTCCTACCCACGTACAGAGCAACTCCTCAGACGAGGTTGTTTTATTAGGAATGAAGCCTAGTGTTCGAGCATTGCCCGTTTGTATGTATTCTCATCACCGGTCACTGTTGAGTGACAACGATAGTGAACTGATAAGCGAGAGCATGTTTGGGTTTCTGGTAGTGGTAGCATCTCCGGCTCAAGGATCTGCCATATTCCTATAAAACAGCTTTCCTTTGACCCGTACCAGTCACCCAATACTCACATGTAGCTCCATCAAGTTACTTACCTGTTTCAACGACCAC